TGGAGCAGTAGCATGCGCTGTGAAGGCGCCTCACCTGGAGACAGGTCCAGGCTCTTTGCTCTGGCCAAATTTGTGACCTTGAGCAAATTGCTTCACCTCTTCTATTCTTAGTTTTATCTTCAGTTTGTCCATGTAAAATGGAAGGAACAGTAACTTACAGGATTGTAGTGAGATTTAGGAGTAACGTCTGTAATACACATAGGTCACTAGCCTGGCAAATAGTAGGTGCTCAATAAATGGAGATGTTATTATAATATCTTTTCAGCTTTTATACCTTTAAGTTTCTAAAAATGTTGCATTCAAACCTCCATACACACACACACATCAAAGTGTGAACAAGAAGAAAAGCAAAGGGAAAATATCCACATATTAATAGTCGCTAATTTCAAATGAACCACTTGTACATACAAAAAATAAAATAGGCCGAGGCGGGTGGATCACGAGGTCAAGAGATCGAGACCATCCTGGTCAACATGGTGAAACCCCGTCTCTACTAAAAATACAAAAAATTAGTTGGACATGGTGGCGCGTGCCTGTAGTCCCAGCTACTCGGGAGGCTGAGGCAGGAGAATTGCCTGAACCCAAGAGGCGGAGGTTGCCGTGAGCCGATATCGTGCCATTGCACTCCAGCCTGGGTAACAAGAGCAAAACTCCGTCTCAAAAAAAATAAATAAATAAAATAAAATAAAATAAAATAAAATAAAATAAACTTTTAAAAATAACTGCAGGATCATAATAATTTTTAACATCAAAATAATACTTAATGAATATATTCATCTCATGGTCCCCTCTTCTTCTGACCAGACGTGAGCATGGTTAGGCTTCTGTGTGAAGTGTTTACACCTTTGATCTTGACATTTCTATAATTCGTATATATTTACCTATAGAAGACTGCTACTTTATGTGTTTGTTCTAAAAGTAGTACCTCTCACGCATCATTCCATATCTTGTTTTTTCATGCGACACTATGTTTTTGAAATCCAGTCATGCTGCTATGTGTATCTAATTAACTCCTTTTAATTGCCATATTTTATTATATGAATATATCATAATTTGTTTATTCTTTTGATGGACTTTTTGGCTATTTTAATTTTTTCACTCTTACAAGCAATGCCACAATGACTAGTCTTGCATGTGTCTCTCCAGTGTACATGGACGTTTTTTTCAGACAGAACTCCTAGAATCTCTTGGAAGACTGTGCATGTGTTAAGTTGTAATAAACACTATCAACTTCCCTTCAAAATGACTATCCTTGTTCTCTAGAACTTTGCCAAAACGTAATGGAATCAGGTTTTAAAGTGTTTTCTAATTTGATGGATAAAGAATCAGACTGCCTGGTTTTTTTAAATTTTGAAATAATTATTGATTAATAGGAAGTTCAAAGATAGTTCAGAGAGGTCCCTGGTCCCTTTTACTCAGTTTCTTTCAATGGCTACATCTAATATAATCATAGTACAGTATCACACCAGAAAATCAACACGGTATAAAGTATGTATAGTTCTATGTCATTTTACTATATGTGCAGATCCATGTAAACATAACCATAATCAAAACATGGAACTATCTCATCCCCCCAAAGATCTTCCTCATGCCACCCCTGGATAGTCAGACCTGCCCGTCCCCACCAACTCTAACTGCTTATCTGTTCTCCATTTCTGTAATTGCGTCATTTTCGTAAGATTGTAGAAACACAATCAGACAGTATGTGGCCTTTTGAGACTGGCTTTTTTCACTCAGCATAATACCTTTGAGATCCATCCAAGGTGTTGCGTTTACCAATAATTTGTTCCTTTTTATTGCTGAGTAGTATTTCATGGTAGGCATTACTGCAGTTTGTTCAATCCTTCACCTATCATAGGATATTTTGGTTGTTTTTAGTTTGGAGGTATCACAAATAAAGCTGCTATGAGCACCATGTGCAGGTTTTTGTGGGGAAATAAGTTTTTGCTTCTCTGGGAAATGTCAGGGGTGCAATGAGGGCTGAGGTCACGTCATAAACACATTTAGTTTTTTAAAAAATGGACACACTATTTTCGAGAGTGGTTGTATCATTTTATATTCCCTCCAGTGATGTGTGAGAGATCAATTCCTCCACATTTTTGTCATCATTTGGTGTTATCACTATGTCTTATTTTCGTTGTTCTAATTGGTGCATGGTGGTATTGTTTGCTGGTCTTAATTCACATTTCCCTAAATGCCATTGATGCTGAACAACTTTTCATGAGCTTGTTTGCCATCTATATGTCTACTTCTATGAAGTGTCTTTTCATATCTTTTGCCCATTTTATAACTGGATTGTTTGTATTTGTTTTACAGTTGAGATTTGAGTGTCCTTTATAAATCTTTGTATTCTAAATATGGGTCCTTACATAGAGGGTGAGAGTTCAGGCTCCCCAAGTGGTCCTGATGTTGGACATGAGAGTGGTTCATTACCACCAGGAGGGGACAAAGTCCAGACCAGACTCATCCCTTGGCCTTCTCTGACATCACCCCAACAAGGTGTATTAGTCTGTTCTCACACTGCTAATAAAGACATACCTGGGATGGTAATTTATAAAGGAAAGAGGCTTAACTGACCCCCCCAGTTCAGTATGGATGGAGAAGCCTCAGGAAACTTACAATCATGGTGGAAGGGAAAGCAAACATATACTTCTTCACATGGCAGCAGGAAGTAGAAGTGCCGAACAAAGAGCGAAAGTTTTTTATGAAACCATCAGATCTCATGAGAATGCACTGTCACAAGAACAAGATCATGGAAGAATTAGCCTCCATGATCTAATTACCTCCCGCTGGATTCCCTCCAGTGGGGACTGCAGTGCAAGATGAGATTTGAATGGGGACACAGCCAAACCATATCACAAGGGGAGGAGCTGTGGGAAACCAAGAGGTGCTCAGTACAACTTGTTCAGAATGGAAGTTTAAGTTGCCCTCTTGGACTTTGCTGGCAGAGGTGGAGTGGGCCACAGTTTTTTTTTTCTGTGGTGTCTGCTGGGAAAGACCAGCTCATGCCTAAGAGTTTTCTGTCTTGCTAGGCTGCCCCTCTTATGATCTTTTTTGACCAGAGAGACAGGCTTTCCCTGGTCTGTGTCTATGGGATTTCCTGATTGCCCACTTCTCTAGCATCTGGTCTTTGAGGCAAAAATAAAACCCAGGGAACTGTTCTATTGTTTATTGGGTTTTGAGATCTCTAGCTTGTCTGCCTTCTTCTCTCCACTGTTCGGTCTTCTCATGTTGTTTGATATCTACTGCCTAGGGTTTTTAGCTGTACTTAGCAGGAGAAATGGGAGGAAGTACTCCTACTTCATCTGTCCAGAAGTAGAATGCATACCCCCTTGTTCTAATTTGCTTTTTTTAAGTTAGTAAGGTTGATTATCATTTTATGTGTTCACTGGACATTTGATTTTCCTCTTCTAGAATTGCCTGTCTCTTCATACATACCTTTGTCTACTGTTTCTACTCCACTGACTATATTTTTCTTAATGATTTGTAGTTTTTTTTTCTTTTGAGTCAATGTCTCATTGTGTCACCCAGGCTAGAGTGCAGTGATATGATCTCAGCTCACTGCAACCTCTGCTTCCCAGGTTCGAGAGATTCTCCTGCCTCAGCCTCCTGGGTAGCTGGGATTACAAGCATCCACCACCACACCCAGCTAATTTTTGTATTTTTAGTAGAGACGTGGTTTGACCATGTTGGTCAGGTTAGTCTTGAACTCCTGACCTCAAGTGATCATCCTGCCTTGACATCCCAAAGTGCTGGGATTACAGGTGTGAGTCACTGCACCTAGCCTAGTTCTTTATATATTCTGAATATTATTTGTCAGTTTATATATGTTGCATATATTTTCCAAGTCTGTTACTTGTTTTTGTCTTTGCTTATAATGGTTTTGTCATCCAGAGGCCTTTAAATTTTAATGTAGTCTTCATGTTGTCTTTTAATAGTGAAAATATAAGAACTATATAAATATGCATAAATGGGAAGGTAGAATACTATGTAACAATTAGAATATTTCACTTTAAACCAAGATCTATTTTGAAACTCCTGTCTTATAGATTTCATATCCTCTTTCAGTACTTTGAGAGTGTAAAATATTTATAGCAGATAGTATTCCTGTTCCGTCTGTTTTCCTCAAGAATGGCTTCTTCTCCCTCCCTTTCCTTTCCTATCTTCCCTATGCTAATTTCTTCCTTTGTTTGTCATTGTATCATTACATAATTGTGGCATTATTTCTTTTGTTTTATTTTTATTTGGTAGGAACAACTCTATCCAGACTTTTTACTTGCCCAGAATTATATAGATCAATTTTTCCTTACTTCTTTCCCAACTTTTACCTCAGTTGGTGATCTAATAGTTTTAGTTTTATGTTCTGCTTTTCTCTTGCTCCTGCAAGAGGAAGGAGTAAACCTAAGATTGTGTTTAATTGCAGCTGGTGAATTTGATCTCTGATTCAGCTCTCTTCTCTGGAATTCTTTTAAAAGGTTAAATATGTCTTGTTCCCTGAGAGATGGCCTCAAATTTTGGATTAGTCCTTCATGCAAGCTGGGCCACCAAAAGCCATTGCTTCTTTTGAGGACAACCTGCCTTCATTTTTTAAAAAAATATCCTGGCTCACATGCCTCCCTGAGCACTTAATGCCACCCAGTCTCTGCTTGAATGTAATAAAATAAAAGTAAGGATTTAGGATATGATGTGCCCTTACTGTACACTGGGGCTTCCTATACATTTTCCATCTTCCTTTGAACCATCACTATCCTCGGTGACTTTTTGTTTTTTTTCCTCCTATTCTGTTAAAGCCCTATTTGCTAGTGGAAAATTTAACTCCTGGTGATTTTTTTTTTTTTTAAGGCCAGTCAAGTGAAGCAGTGGGAGTGGAGAAGGAACAAAGAAATCTGTAACTGGTTGTGATCAATTAGTTGTAAACACCACTGCACTCGGACCAGCCTGGTGATTTTTTTTTAATACTAGATCTCTTGCCTTCCTTCCAGTGAGGAAAAAAAATAGAGTGGTAAGCCTAATGGTTTCTTCCTTCACTATTGAATACTATTTATCCAAGATAACAGGGAAGAACTTCCAATCAGAAAAGACATATATTATTTAACCACTGGGTAGCATATCTCACTCCCAGAACTGAAGTTAGGTGAGGATTGCAAGATTAAGGGTTTTTTTCTGGATTTTTTCTACGTATCATATCCACAGAACTCTTTTTGGAGGAATTTTATGTTGAACCAGACATCCATTTCTAGAGTCTTCCATCTCTAGATACTTCCAAAATTAAAGCACTGCTTCTAAATCATTTGTTGGCTTTGTTTATTGTTCATTCCATTTCATTAGGTTCAGGATGAAACAGGTATTGTCATCTCTTTGTGTCTACCTTGCCACCTTTCCCCAGAATAGGCCTGAACGAGATTAAAAACATCACTTCATTTCCTTGAGTCTGACATTGCTTGTTTGTAACTAAGAAAAATAATATTTGCTTTTGTTGGATCACTACTAATTTTTTTCTACAAACTATGGCCTAATAAACTAAAAAGAAGTTGAAATAATAAACAGTGAACCAGTATAAAAATCCATATTGAGTCAATCTTCCTTCAGAAACTTCTTCCTCAAACACTCTTACCAAGTTTGAGGTAACATGTTACCTATGAACCGGGTTGCCAATTCTTGCTAATCCTTAATTTTCTTTTCCTTTCTTCCCTCTCTCCCTTCCTTCCTTTCTTCCTTCCTTCCTTCCTTCCTTTCTTTTTCTTTCTTTCTTTCTTTCTTTCTTTCTTTCTTTCTTTCTTTCTTTCTTTCTTTCTTTCTTTCTTTCTTTCTTTCTTTCTTTTTTCTTTCTTTCATGCAGATGAGGCTTCACTATTTTGCCTAGGATGGTCTTGATCTCTTGACCTTGTGATCCACCCACCTCGGCC